TCTAAGGAAAGGAAGCTGAATTCTTTATGTGGGAGCATGTAATTTTCCTGGAGCCTGGAACGGCTGGATTTTCTTACCACATGTGCAGGAAATAGCCCTTCCTACCCCATCCTTATGTATCAGGTAATACCCTTAGCATGTAAGGAAAATGTTCTAGTGTGAGACACCTTCTAAGTGACATTTCTGTTTGAGTTTCTATCTACTGGGCAACACTTCAAAACACTTTGGTTCATTGGTAAATAATGAATATTTAAACTGTTCCACAGGATCCTCAATTCTTAATTAAAAAAAAACCAAACAGAAGTACCAACAAAACACACCTACCTGATTTCTAGCCCTCTTCCCACAGACAGCTACAAGTTCATTTGTTAGGGAAGTTTGGGGATGGGTCCATCCTCACCCTGCCTTCCTCATATTAGCAATAACTCGTATACCCAGTGCTTCTGCTGCAGTAACAGTAGTAGGGCACTCCCATGTTGGTACAGAAGTGCCAGGATTTTTGCCCTGAGTAAGGGGGCAAGCTCTAACAAACAGTCCCACAGCACACCTAGCCAGTAACACATCCCCAGGTTGGGAGCGTTAGTCCTCCTTTCTTCAACTCAAACATTCTGTTGTTTGGGTTTGGGGCATGTGTGGGGGTGGGCCTTTTGAGGTTTTTGGTTTGTTTTTCCATATGTGAATATTTTCTCTGTTATTTTGACAAAAAGGAGGTACAGCTTGTCTGGTACAGGTTACTGACACAGATCTAGGAAACTTCCCTCTTTAGATCATGGGTCTTTGCTGGCTAAATCTCCTTGAGCCTAAAAAGGATTTTACTGATGTGAAATTTCTAATACTACACCAAATATGAGAACAGGATGATCTCTTGCTCCCAGTATCTGACTCATTTCCTAAAGCATTTTGGTAAGTACAATCTCATGTAGAGGGTATCCAGCTAGCCAGCACCAGCTTCTTCAAAATCCAGTTCATGAATCAAAAAATTCCTTCTTTGGAGGCAAAAGAAAGGAGCTTCACACTCTCTGGGACAACATTTTGGTAAGGCATGAAATTATAATCCTGTATTTATTCCTACAACGGAGTCACATCTCAGTGTCATTTCACTTGATAATGTCAGCTTTGGTGATGTAACTAGAAATCATGGAAACATTTTCTGAGTTATAAAAAGCAACAACCAAACAACCAGAACCACAAGAAGTTCCAAACTTCTCTTGGGGCATACATCATTTTGTAAGGCATATTTACATTTTGAGAAGACTTGGCAGATAATCAAATAATGGACATGATGAAGGGTAGAATAAATTGCTATTATAAAATGTTGCATTTTCTTCTTCTTTTTCTGTCCTTGCTGTAGCAAGTCTTTTTGTCAGCTGTTAAAAGATGTAGTCTTCCATAGGGATATATTTGGATTTTCCCCCCTAAGGAGTATCACTAGCAATCTTCATTTTGTTAACGCCAAGTCCTCAGCCACTAAGGCTTTATTCCACAGATATTTTATATTTTCATTTCTGACATGTGGGTTTGTGTGCTCAGATAGTTTTCATTCTCCTTTGATTTGCAAAGTCACTGCTCTAAGAAATACATGAGAGAATAGGGAATGCATAGAGCTATTTCTCCTGTTGAACAAATGTCAGCATCTCATTGACTTCAGAGAGAAAAGGATCAAGTAATTAAACATTGTTTTGCCTGGATTCCAATAGGCTTTTTATCAGGCCTCATTTTCCTAGCTAGCACTTGCAGCTTTGCTGCTTTGGATTCTGCTGACAAACGACTCTCTGTAAATCTAACCAACCAAGCTCACAAAGCTGATAAGAGTTCCTTCCTGTGCTCCCTTGCGAGCACCTTCTCTGAAAATGTACTCCGAGTTTGGTCATAATTGATTTCAGATTAAGACATTGCAAAGTGAAACTTGAATGTCAGCTAAAGTGATAAAGAAATTAAAGTTAATGCACAGTCTTTCAAGCCAAATGATTCCAGGCTGCGTAAAATGGTAAATAGATTCTGCTTTGTTAGGGTGCTAAAACATCTGCATGAGTCGGTAACTGTCAGCTGCTTAAAGGATGTCACATTGCAAAATAGCTGGCTAGGTTGCTTCAGATTATATCAGGAGAAAAATATAGTGATCTGTGATAGAGATGTTGGGGAAATTGGGGGAAGAGGGAGAAAGAAAACAAACCCCAAACCAAACAATAAAAATACACAGAAAACTTGTATATTTAGCACACACTTGCATGAAAACAGTCTGTAGAATGTGTCTGTCAGTGAATGGAGACAGACATTTGTATTAAGTAAATACATGCCTAATACAAATGCACCATTCTGTATGTGTTGTAGGCAAGAACCTGAGATTACTTTTTTTCTGTGGGAAACCTTCTGTCAGAGACAAAGATCACTTCCCAGATGCTTTGATGTTAGCATATTAAATCTTAGCAGAGACTGTACTTAATTAAATGTTATTTATATTTTGTGGGTGTTGCTGAACAAAGTCTTCCCTGAGTGTCATTAATGGAAGAATGACAGAACCAGTGAGAATCATCATGATAACTGAGTGCAGAGATAGCCTCTGGTGATATTTTAGGGAAATCGTTTCTCAGACAGCTGAGCACTCACATGTATTTCTAGCACAGGATGAAAAAACAAGGTTGAAACCACACCACTTCTAGTCGTGATGCTTCCAGTTTCACAGATTCTCATTCTTCATTTTGAAGTTAAACACTTATAGTAAGTCTGCATTATTGTAATCATTTCTTTAGTGAACATGACTCCATATGCATGAGCTAACTCATGTTAGAAGTTTAATACTACATATTTTTTTATTTTATTTTATTCTCAGGGAAGGAGTTACTTTCTTTGGCAATTCCAGTGTTTATTTTGGGAGATTCTAGTGACTGATCATTTACTGTGCTGCCTTATGCTGTATTAGAGAAGAGATGACCTTGTTTCTCATGCTTTGCTAGGAAGGAATGGCTAGGAAGAAGATGTAGTCTTTTAAAAAAATTATCTAAAACAGATGTTTCTAACTTGCTCTATGGAGATAATAGAAAACAATCAGCAACTGCTGAGTATCAGTTTTGTCTGTTGTGCATTATTGTCTGTCTTGACAGCATAAAATAAATAAATTATATGTATTCAACCCCCTTTGTTTAAAAAATAAGGTTGCTAAGAAACAAGAGTTATGCATGTTTAATGCCACTTACAATCAACATTTATACAAAAACATGAAATGTAGCCATGATGAACTTGGACACTCTTACAGTGCAACTAGAATGCAAACCTGGGGTCTGGGCAAAGAAGAAATGTGAATTTTACTGTCTTGTCATAATCAGGACTCTGGCCCAGTGTATAATCACACCCTACAAAGTTCCTTTCCATGTTCTGGATTCTGTAAGAAATGCCAACTAATGTCACTGACATCCTTACTCTCATATTTACTCTTTCTTCAAGATAACGTTGACATGGATTTCCAAATGATACTGTCAGTAAGAGTGGAATAACTAAGGACCTATAGGTTCCACAGAAATTGTGCACATTATGGTTATATATAGTTCAGCAAGAAAAGGTTCATGCATATAAAAATTTGGTGTACCTGTAGATTTGCATTTCCATCTGATTTATGTGTGTTACAAATGTTTGCATATGTAAACTTGGTTCAAAAATACTCAGTTGTTGTCACGGTTCAGGAAGTAAGTGGTTACACTTGATGAAATATGCATAGTGCCATTTTTCACTACTATGCTTACTAGTAAGAAAATTTCATCCAGCCTCCTACCTTTCACTGGAGTCAATCCTATGCTCATTTAAACCAATAACCAACTTTTCTTCTGACCTCAGTCAGCTGCAAAAACAAAAAGGACCAAGACATCTGTTAAATGCAAGTATTTCGCAGTCCTCACTGGAGGTCAAATAGCAGCACAGTAACACAACTGCTAAAGCTAAAGATATTAATGGCATTGATAGGCTACACACAGTACAGGCACAAAAAAGAATGTTTCCTAAACTGGTGTTATAAAGTTATGAGTCTCTAAGCACTACCTTAATCTGAGGAAAATTATCCTCAAAGGCTTGGACTTCTTTCTGGGTAAAAACTACAAGTGTTCTCAAACTCCTACTCAGCAATATGTTCTGGAAAGTTTGTTTTTTAACTGCCTACTGAAACTTCAGGTTTTTTATCTCATATCCAGCTACAGCAGCACTGAAGATTTTTCTCTCTTGTCTGATCACAGGAAAAAAAAAGCAGTTTATTCCTGTTTCCTTTCATCCCTGGTTTCTTAAATGGGGCTTAAAGCCATTTAGCTCTTTCACCCTATGTGATAATTAAGTTGTTGAAGCTTAGTCAACTTCAGTTTTCCCAGTTAAATTGGCACCCTTCCAGCACTGTCAGTTTTCCATAAATGTATAGGGAAGAGCCCTTACATAATCCCTCCACTCCCAGAGGAGCTCAGCACTGCCATACAGACGCAGGCCATGTGCAGACATCACCACTACCAAAACCCATCTGTCAAATTCAGTGTCTCAGGAGGACACAATCCTCTTCAACACTGCTTATGAGATGGAAGGCAAGTGCCGTAGCCCACCTGGCAGAGCAAAAGAAGTTTCACAGCAAGCATTTACCATGTTGAGACCACATGGGGAATAAGGCTGTGGTCATTCTCCCTGCCATAAACTTTGAAGATGTCAAAGATGTTGTAGATAATTGTGTTCCTACTGCTGCCTCCCTCTGAGGTGGCAGTCTCTGCGGCACCACTGTTTCCTACCACCACTCTGCTATTGTCATAGGACTTGACAGAGAGGTGCCACCGCATGAATTGTCATTGGCTCAGAGGGTAATGCTAATGCTTGTTGAACAGCCTCCTTTCTGTTGTGTTTTCTTAGCTCATGGAATCCCAGTGGATCACAGCAGAAACAGTACTGTTCTTGACAACCTGTAAAGTATTTTTATGAACTCCATAATTTAGCATTTAAACATGTTAGCAAGTTTGTTTTTTTTTTTAAAAAAAAAGAATAACTTAAAGAGAGACCTTTTCTGAGTTGCACCTTCTGCCAATACCTTTCCAGTCTCAGTGCTAGCGTAAAAAAAAAGGTATTCTTTAATTGAAAATAAAGTCCTGTGCATCTGCTAATTTGTCAACAGGGCAGTTGGCATCCCTTCACCCTTCCTGCTTGTGTATACCCCAGAGTCTGAAATATCAGATTTCAGCTGGTGAAGGAGGAGCCTGAACACACAGAATGCAAAACCACTTTGAACTTTCTGGAATGGTAACAGCAGCACTTGAGGAGAAAACAAAGCCTGGGCACAAGTACATTTTCACAACAGCTGAAATGAAGACATCTAACAACTGCCACATTCCCAGGGAAAATCCTGTTGAGCAGAAACTTAGTCCATCAGCTTGTTGTACAATTGCTCCATGGTGTTCACAGAACTGGCATTTCTTTCAAGTGCCCTTCAAAGGTTATTTAAAATTCATAGACGAGACTGACCTGTGGAACTCAGCACAACTCAAAAGCTGTCTTTTGCCATTCATTCTTTCTGATTTGAAGGCACTTCTTTCTGCATATGAAGTGTTTCTTTTAACTATGTTGCACCTTTGCAGTTTCTAAATGAGCAGCAGTTATGCTGCTCTTTCAAGATATGCATCTGTCATCACAATGTATAAGCTAATGACTACAAGGTATTTTCAGTATTTAAAAAAAAAGTCAATTTGAAATAACTTCACAAGATTCAAAAGGTTTATTTACTGTAGTGCAGTACTTCCTGGTGAGCTACAGATCACTCCCTCACCTTTCACTTTCACCCACACAGACAAATATCTGTTGTCAGGCAGTAAACAGAAGTTTAAATATACATGGATAATTCATATTACATTTCAATAAAGTACAATCCCTATCTAACAGGCTGTTTCAGAGAATGGTTTATGGTTTACTGTGAAGCTTTACACATGAAACTTCCTTATTAAAAAGTTCTACATTTCAAGCAGACTTCCGTCTTTAATTGAATTACATGGCTGGTTTTCTTCATGAGCCCTGCCACTTCTCCTATCATTTATTCCAGGCAGTGCTAGAGTAGGATTTTTTTTTAATGTACAGTAGTAGAATTTTTAGCCACACATATATTTCACTGTGCACACATGGAGAGAAAGCTTAAATATACTTTTTTATTTCAGAATATATCCAGATTTTGGAAACTTGCCCGCTCTTGCCTTCTGTTTTGCTTAAAACTTTAGTCTACAAAGCATCAATAAGCATCTTAAACTAAACTAATGTCTGCATGTCATTATTTATAAATGTGTAGGCGCTTGCCTAAAGGCAAAGGAACCCATAATACTGCTATAATTTACTGTTTACATTTAGCTTTTCCTTTTCAGTGAGTGTTTTCCTACAATATTTTTTTCATTTCAGGTTTTAGTTTAGCCTGCCCTCAGTACTATATGTAGCATTATTACCACCCTAGCAGCTCTGTACGGCAGCAAAAGAAGGTCAGCCGGGAACAAGAGGTTGGAGCATCTCCCAGGGCCTGGCTGGGCTGTATTACTAGTACTTCTTTGGGCAAATGTGCAAAGTTTAATGAAGCCAGTGGAAAGACTCCCACTGGCTTTGGTTAGCTTTGGATGCAGCTATAAATTAGGTAAGTTTGATTTTAATTCCATTCCTTGTCCACAATATTTTTTTCCCTGTGTTAACAACATAGCTCCTCTTTAAACCATGACAGAACTGCTCTTTACAAAAGGTCAGTTTGCTAGTAAGTTACACTGCAATATGACCAGATATGGATCCTAAGATGGCTGCTAAGTGGAGAGGGTCAAAAAAAGATACCCTTTCTAGTTGTGTGGATAGTTATTGACTTCAAGGGAACCGTGCAGTAACTTCTTATGCTTCATAATCAGCATGTCATAAAATACCATTCTGAAGTGGAGGAGTACCTGTTATCCAACCTTTCCAGAACAAAGTGAAGACAAATCACAGTTCTAGGAAAACCTAGGGAAATGATAGAAAAACTTGTCTAAGGTGACTCACTAATTTAACAATAATTTGACAGTAGCAGAAACACTATTAACACAGGAATTCCTAGTTTGTGTCCCATTCCTTGCTCCTTGTGCACGTATGATATTATCACGATAATGTATGACATTATTCACATTATGTGAAGAAAGCACATCGGCAGTGCACAGTAAACTGATAAAAGGATTTTATCAGTTTAACAAGGACAAGTTTAAAGTAATGTGCTCTTAGAATCAACAGCATAGGCCATGTGAAAGAAGGACAGCTATCGAGGCACTTTGTTTTGACAGTGATTACTGTCCCTACACATTCATCTGAGTAAGATAAAGATGTAAAGAAATACTACTAAGTAATTAAAGTTTGGTTTGGTTTTTTTTTTTATAAATAGATTTTTCCGTTAAAAATACTTGTCTTGTACAACAGAAATCTATGCACTCATGTATCAATGTATTGCTTTCTGAGTAATGATTTTCCCTCAGAACTTTTTCTATTTATAAAACCCCTTAAGCCTTTTGCAGTATGTTTCCTGTTCAGACATAGCACTTAATCTCCAGAAAATGACTCAGCCAATCAGTCCAAACACTTCCCTAACAGAGGATTCAAAACGAGCGAGAAAATTATGAGCATGTTCAAAACCTGACTACTCATAATAGTGTTTAAACTGATTCTATTTTTCTAGATCAGGAATATGTTTGTCATTGGAAGTGCATAGATGCTTTCTATTATTTCTGTAATTACCATAACATTATATTTTAATAGCAAACAAACAGATTTACAACTGAGATTTGTAACATGGATAACCCTTCTGCTGCTCTTTTTTGGTATGGAGTGGGCATTGTTATGAAGAAATGCTCGATCTTTTTAGCTTGCATAAGAAACTATCATCTTGGAAACACGAAGACATAACTGGCTAAAATTGTAATTTTCAACTTATTTACTAATTCACTGCTATTTTTTCAGCTTTAGAATATCAGAGATCTTGTTAAATTTTCTATGCACAAAAATGAATGCTGTTTAAGTATTCATTTATAAACATAATCCAGCATATTCATCTGCAAAAAAAATTAGAGATGGAACTGGAAGACAGAGAACAAGCAATTTCAATTCTCCTTTCAAGAGCAGAAGAATTATCAAAAAACAAGGATGGAATTTCATCCTAGAACACGTGCATAACTGCCATCTGCATGATTCATCATGGAAGCAAACACAGAATTTCTTCCACACTCCACAGTAACAGAAGAGCAGTAGAAGTATTTCCTTTTATCCAGATGTAAAAAGACCAAAATTTTTGGCATTTCAACCCTTTAGCTTAAAGACAGCCCCACCTGTGTGCTTTGTCCTTATCTGTATGCACCAACAAAACCCCAAAATATTTCTGACCCTTTGGGCTCTCCTGAGGGACACAATCGACAAATAAACCTCAGATCTATAGCACCTTAGAAGTAGTACCATAGCAATAATAGAATTTGCATTACAAAGCACAGGTTTTTATTTTGAGGACTTTTGAACCTCATCCTGTTTTGCAGCCATGGATGTTGTGGCTTAAGGAAATAGCAATTGATGTATAGTCCCAGCTTTCAGCCTTACAATATATTGAACAAGCACTTGCTTATTTTCAATGGCAGGTAAGGAGAAGGAAGCTATGGAGATTACACCCAAGGAATATCATTTACTCAAAATCTGTCATCTTCTATGTAACAGCTTTTTTTCTGTTATTGTTTTAGATACTTCACAAAACTGAGGGAAGACGGAATAATCAGAGTTTATGAAACCTTGGTCTGTTAAGCACAGAAGAATACCCATCATCCACAGCATGAAAATTATCCTTTTTTTTTTTTTTCCACGATAATTACCAGTCCTTCTCTAATCCCACTGGTTTCTTTCAAGCAGACTTTTAATACAGGTTGGAAGCGATAGAGGAACATGTTAAATACCTAAATACAAGAGAGGGTTTTGAAATTAAACCTATTTCATATTAACTAAGCTAACTACATACTTAAGAGTCTTCGTATGCCATTTATGGGTAAATGCATAGCATGGTAATATATGCCCCCATCCTGAACTGACCTGATTCCATGCCAAGAGTGGTCGGAAAAATAAGAATGCCATATCGTCTGACAGACAATGTCATTCTGATAAATGTCCGAGGTCACATTCCAGTGCTATCATTGTTGGCCTTTCATCTGCAGAAGCTGTTCTCTCACTTTCACAGCCAGCAGTACAGCAAAGTGATTCAAAAGCACCTAAAAAACATACAAGGATAACCACCATAGAAACATTAGGGAAAAATCAAAGTACCAGAATGTTTTCAGCTACAGATGCAGCTTGGCTGTGTTAACTTCTATATCTACTTCAAGTTTTGTTTGAAGTATCCACCTTCCTACATCACTATAGGCTTACTGTGAGTTCAGTACAGAAAACTGATGGAAGGTGTGAACATGGAACGAGAGCTTACAAAAGCTTTGTATAGCTACTATCTGCAAAATGCCATGATTTCTCCCATCTCTGAATGTTATTTCAGGTTCCACATTGCCTCTGATATGAAGTGATATTATTACAGTAATAATACAGCTGCTTGTTAATACTGTGAAATCTAGATATGCTTTGCTAAGTCTTTGCTATTAATCAGGAAAAAAAAAAACAAACAGCTTGGGTAAGATATGCCTACCTTCCATCTTTTTTCGGAGCCAGAGTTCTTTCAACTGGTCCTATGTGGGACAAGGTAACCTTGACTTCTCTTGCAAAATAGCATTTTTATAGCATTACATTATGCATTTATTTATTGGGAGAGGAAAGAGGTGGGTCTGCAACATCACTGCAAGTTTTCCTGTTGGCCTGGAGAAAGTACATGGGACCCTTGCCCTGTAGTTGCAAGAAGTTTTGATTTAAATTTTGTTTTGAAATAGATTTGGACAACTGCCTAATTCTCAATGCCTGTGTCCTGTGTCCTGTGTCCTGCAAGAGAGAGGACAGAGGGAAAGAAGGAAAGAAGAGGAAAAGAAGGGGGAAACAGGATTAAAAAGAAAACTTCCCAAATAAAAGTAGTTGAAATAATTAAACAGATACATTGGCAAACTCCATTGCCTTTAAAGGTATTAGGAAATAAGGATTTGAAAAAACACACAAGTCAGCCAAAGTTTAAACAGTTCAACAAGGTGCCTATTATTTAACAAAAAGTCATTATGCAAGTGCATTTTTTAGATTAGATGGAGCAAAATGAGATTTATACAGTACAGAACAAAACATAAACTAATACTGGGCACCAGTATTATTTCCAAGATCCCTGTTTGTATCATATTCTTAAACAATTTCTTCACTCTCTCCTGGGGAAGGGGGGGGTGGGGCTAAACTTGCTTAGTTTCTTCTTTCCACCTCCCTCCCTACTTTGATATGGTAAATTCAGAAGTGGATGCAAATTGCAGACCAGCTAGAATTCAGCTTGGGTACATCCCATCCATAGGTAAATTCAGTGTACCTTTCCAGGGAGGTCAAAAAAAGCAAACTTCATCAAGACGAGGCCAATAAAGAAACACAACAACTTTATTGCTGTAAAAATCCTGTCAGATTAAACAATAAAACCAAACACTTACCAGGGAGTTACATACCGGTTGGCCTTTGGTTAAGAAATGCTCAAGAAGCAAGAATCCACCAGTTGTATCAGAAATAGTTCCAAAAGAAGCACCAATACCACAGACTCAGAGGCTCTCACTTAGGTAGTAAATTGGGAAAGTTGTCACCATAAACTGCTGATTTACTCAGGAGGGAAAGAAGACTTTTCAAAGTGACAAATCAGATTAAAGCTTCTTCCCTAACTTGGTCCTAAAAAAGTCTCATGAGCCCCAGAGGGCACTCTATCTCCTAACCTAGAGGGATGCAGCATGAGCACATTTCTGCATGTACAAAAAGTTCTCAAGACTAACAGCCATTTATTTAGCTTCATCCTACTTCCACTGACTTCAGCGGTGCAGGATCAGATCTGCATCTGGGTGATAAGAAAAGTAACAGATTTTTTAACAGTAAGCTACAACTATATTCTTCAATGCTATTTCAGGAAGTGCTTATATAATAAGGCTATAGATAGTGTGGGTTAAGTGATTTCTAAACTCAGTCATGTCCTGTTGGCTAGGAGTTACTGTTCCCCCAAATGCCACATCTCATCTGAGAGTACTGCCATTGTCATGCAAAGTAAATGGATAATCTTTAATCATGCTTTTTACCACAACTGAACATTAAAGCACTCAAAGTACTGGCTTGTTTTAAAACCATTCACTACTTCTGCTGGTTCTGAGAAACTTCCGAGTGAATTGTCATATGTGTATGTGAAAATAGAAAACAACAGGAAGGGAGCCATGTCTTCTACTGTTTCAACACATACTGAATATATCCTTGATAGAAGAGGTTATTAATAATCAGAAAGAAAACAGGATTCAAATGAAGATATATATGTAGATTAAGACCGGAGGAAATTTATCATCATTTAACTTGACTTTCTATTTAAGAGAGGCTGTTCATTTCCAACCATATACTTTCTGCCTGCATTATAGTACTCATTTTAGAATTTTTTTGGTTTTTATTAAAAAGTGTCATGTATTAAAGAAGCTTTTGCAAACCAAAGATGATTGCACCAAGAGCTGGCTTGTCTCAGAGTAAAAATGTGGCTTGAATGTAGCTAGTTTTTGCTTCCAAATTTAGGGTGTTTCTTCTGCTTGATTATAGAACTGAAAGTCACCTTTCCTTGTGGGCTGTGATAAACACTAACTCTTAGTTTAAACATGTAAATTAGTCTCTATTAGACTCTTCCTCCTTGAACACTGGTTGTTAATATTGAAACACATATCACTCTAGTGATCATCCCTTAGCAAATTATTTATGTCAGGTTTTATATGTGACTTGGAGTCATCAGCACTTTCCACATCGACTGAAAAACATGTAATTTCACCAGAGCAAGAACAAATTGTTGGAAGGAACAGAAATAATTCAGACTAACTAATCTTCAAACTAACAACTTTTTCAGCCTATCAATTAACTAGCTATCTAATACTGCATTTCCTTTTTATTTTAACCAGAATATCCAGCGTCCTTAGGATGACCAAATCATTATTAGATCTACATAGGTATGTTTACTAGCCACACTTACAAATGCATGTCTACAGTCAAGCTCTATCACCCATAAAGCTATATCAAATGGTATTAGTTATGTTACCATCAATTATTTGCTTTCTTATTGCAACCCATCTCCAATTTAATCTGATTTTGCTTCTAGCAGTCTTAGGGTAACTACTCTGAAGTTCATGATCCTTATCTCTTCCAAGTTTAAGTACTGGTACACCATCTATTTTTTGTCCATCGTATCCTACAATTTGGTAAAAATACTACTTGATCAAACAATTCTTTAACCATCCCAGCCATAAATCCTGTGAATTCTTGGATTACAAGCAAAGCTGTAAACATATCTTTCTATATACAACAAATTAAAAGTACAAATTGAGAGAGACATCATCACACAGTGCAAAGAATCAATAATACAGTAATGTGACTTGACAGTATAAAAAGCTTATAAAGTTCTTACTCAATATATTGACTCTAACAAAACCTTTTAATAGCAGTGCCTGGACAGGCAGTTTAGTAGGAATAACAATAATCCAGTCTGCAGTAAATAAAGGTGTGGGCAAATTTCAAAGCATCTTGGGTGGTGAGAGGGTCAAAGCCTAGCCTCCTCTACAAAGGGCAAGATGTTCAAATGCTTGAAATACTATTCTCAAATGGGAAGATGCAAAATAACACAACAGTCTGAATCCAAACAGATACAGTAACTGAAAAGTAATTCCATATAAAGAAAAAAAGAAAATCAGTAAATTCAGTAAGTGGTTATATTTAGAAGGCCTTAATGATAACTTTTTATCTGGTAATAAATTGTTGCCAACCCTCCTCCTTCTGAAGATAAATAATACCAAACAGATTTTTGGTCATGAGAAGCAAGCACAAAGATAGCCAAGACTTAGCAGAAAAAGATAGCAAAAAGCTGCACTGGATCATACGTAATAGTTATGCAAGAGATCAAAACCTGATGCTGTGGATTTCTATGGTAGAGTTAGATCAACCAGAAGAAACAATTTCATTCACAGGCTGGACACCCTTGACTCTCAGACAGTCCTGGTTTATATTGGCCCTAAGCCCATTCACCCTAGAACAAACAAATATGACCCTAAAACAAAATCAGAGCAAAATCTGAACACAAAGCATAACTAATAATATTTGACTTTTAAAAGTCACAGCAATATTTTGTCTTTTATGAAGAACTTAAATCATACAGTAACTTGAAGTTCATATTCGGAGAGCTTTTTCTGAATTAAGCTGTGTTCTTGTCCCATTGATAGATTTTGTTTCTCTACTTTCTCTATACAGCATGACTGAGTGGATTAGAAGTCACTATAGTTATTCACATCAGAGGTGACTATTCATCTGGTTAAGTATTCTTGTCCCAAACACTGCTGACCAATATGCCAGAATTGGTAACACATATTGAACAAAATCCAGCTTGTGAAGAAAGCCACTTGTAAAACAAACAGAACAGCTGTGATTACATGCATGACATGACAGAATTTTTTCTCTACAAAACAACAGAACAGACCTGTGTCAGCTGGAGATCCTAAATTTAAACCAATCATCATCAGGTTTCATATATGCATCAAAACCACCAATATCTCAATATTTACTGGGAATTTTGGATCTGTAGATGCATTGGAAAGGAAGAAAGATGCTTGTGGAGAGCAGATGTACTGAGTTTTAATCCTAGTTCCCATCTGAGTAAACTTGGCTTCTTCTCCTCTCATGTGCAACAGGATGTGAACATATTTAGAAGCTTTTCTTCTTTGTGAAGAAGACCTTACTCATGTGATTACTGGGATAAGAAGTACAGATTAATAATTGTAAAGTGCTTTGAAATCCTGAGATAAAAGGTATCATGCAAAAAAGTTATTATTTTACACCATTTAATATCAGTTTGTTCATGATGATGTCATGTTATGAAAAAGGAAGTATTCTTAAGCTAGACACTGAGATTTGGCAAGGGAACTTGTATTCTGCCTGCAGAAGAATGTCCACGTGGCATAGCTGCATCACAGACTCTCACCTTCTTCATCACAAAATAGAAGTGATAATACTTTTTTTTTATCCCCTTCTTTCCCTAATGTTCTTATGTAGAACTAATGAGTGTTTGTGATGGGTGCAAAGCTGCTTGGTTAGAATGGACATATAGCATACGATAACAGAACTATCACCATACAAAACAAAGAATCACGATTTCTGTAGTCCCAAAATAAATTTCAAACCATGTAGGGGAAAAAGAAATACCTTTCTTTTTATGTACATAAAGCCTTCTAGTCTGGCATGTCGCTTGTTTTCACCAGCCTTTCTGGTTCACTAGTAGATTTCCAGCTCTCAAAAAAAGGACTCACCACAAAAATTACTCTTTTTTTGCCTCATCTTTGATCACCTGGTTCACATTTCAGTAGTACTCCTCAGACATTCAGGCACCCCTCTCCTGTTGTAAATCATCCTGTATCTCCTGCCAGATAGTGAAAGAAAAAAGAAGATCCACATCTCTCCCTGTATCATTTCCCCAGTCGTGTCTGCCACACCTGTGAAATACATGGAAGTTTCTCCTGACTCAAGGAAGGCATGAAAGGGTAAGTGAAAATGAAAGGGTAGAAGTGGCTGAAGGAAAAAAGAAGACTCCAGAATATTTCTGTAGCAGCGCTGTGGAAAGGGTTCTGGTTTTTCCTTTATTTTTTACAAAACCCTAATATATACAAGCTGCAGAAGTGCTATAAAATGTAATTTTACTTTGGCAATGCTGCCCTCTCTGCAGAAAGGCTTAGTCTGCTGGAGAGCTCTAGGCATGGTAGAGTC